AGACCCTGGGAGCAGAGGCTAGGAGAAGCTTTTGGAAACCCCAGGCACGGCAGGCCTTTCCTGTTCTGGTCAGTGCCCTGCATGCTAGCTGTTGTCCCTAACAGTTCTGCTTGGTGACTCTCTGTGAACCCATGATGTTCTGAAGATCTGAGGCTCCTGGACTTGTGTATCACTCTTCTGAGATGGGGGATGAAGAGAATCCCCAGTTATGGGGCAAAAGAGATCTACTACCTATCCCTTATGGTGTCATTGCAGCACAGGGCTATGGGGGTGGGGTGGGGGGGGTTCAGGGTCCGAGATCAAGCCTTACCAGAACCCAAAGTACTGTGTATCCAGGGCAGTGACTGTACTCAATGGGGTTGATGCAGAAGAACCACAATTCTCAGCATGAATTAGAGTATACAGAGGCCAGGGAGGGGGTTGAGCCTGTAGGAGTGTTTTTTCTATAAGGTTCTTGTTTAACCTTTGCAGGTTCTAGACTGTGAGAGCATGTGCCCTTGGAGGTTGTCTATGAAGATATTGAAACTCTCTCCATATATGGAGGTCCTGGCTGAGAGTCTTGATCTCCTGCAGGCAATATGATGCAAAGCAAAAGAAAGACACAGAAACTAGATTTAAACAGATAGTGGGGAACTGAGATGGGCCATGCTGAACATGTGGGGATGAGGCTGAGCATGTGGTGAGGACCACAAGCAGCCAGGTCTGTCAGTACTTATCGATTATACAGGCATGGGTAAGAATAGCTTAGAGGGACTCATGCAACATCTGGTGGTAATAGCTGACACAGGCAAGGTTTGTAGGAAGGAGGATTAGACATACTTGCAGAAGGAGTGAAACAGACCAAAGGTTGGTTATGGTTAACTAGTAAGTTACTGAAAACAATTAAGGGATGGGCAGCTCTGGGGATAGAATGTGGATTGGAGCCACATGGTCCTCAACTTCAGAGATATCTAACTAGGAGCCCTGCAGCTTCACAGATCAGGACTTAGATCTCCACAGCAGCCAATGGCATGGAAGCCGTACGAGCCTGTGGTGCCATCCGACATGCTCCTGTCAGTCATGTAGGCTTCAGTCCAGCTCTGAGTACATTATAGCCAATTATGAGGGGAAAATGCCTGCTCCATATTATAGCCTGCTTTGACTTTGGTCATGGTGGTCTGCCATGTCTCTGTGAAGGAGAAAGAGGAGGGGTCATCAATGTTCAGGGACCTGGTGCTGGAGGAGGATTATGATGACACAGGAGAGCTGGAAGAAGGCCATGGGGTGGAGACTGATGAGGTGGAAGGACTCTGTGTTGCTGCTAAGCTCCATTGGTGTGCAACTCTGCGCTGTGGGGTCCAGCTCATTTTTCTTACTCTACTGCTCCTATCACTCTGCTCTAGACACCAGTGACATTTAAAAGAACTGAGAGCCACTTCTCTGTGTCTGTGACCCTCATTTCTGTCTCAGTCCTGGGAAGTTGATCTGTCCTCCTGTTCCTTCAAAGCTACTACTCAGACTCAATTTTCTAATGGGCATACATGAAGTCAGGGAAGTCCTCAGTTGTCATTTTATCCATTTCAAAGCTGTGCAAAAGTCCTAGCACCTGGTCCCCAATGGGTACAGAAGGTTCCCTGGGTGAATGATTGGATGGAAGTGGGTGACTTGGTTTGAGAAGTGTTCTTACTGTCCCTTGACCCCAGTGCATCCAATCCTGGTCTCTCCCTCTTTGAGTTTGCTGTGTTATAGGAAACCAGAAGCTCAGGAATCCCTGAAGACCGCAGAGCAAATTTTTTTCCCTGTAAAGTCTACATTTTTATTACTTATTACCATAAAACAAAGATACAATGTATGTAAAATATTAAAATGAAGCCATACTAAAGCCACACTAAAAAGACACTGAGAATTGTGATATTTCTGGTGTACAGATGTGTTGGAAAGAGTGAAGATGCCACACAGGACTTTATGAAGAAAAACAGTTATCAGTTTATTTTCAATGCAGTACTTTTGAGATCAGTTTGGTACAGAGTAAACAGTGTCTCTCTATAATAATATGGAAGTGAAACAATCAGCACAGGGAATCTGAGTACTAATGAGGAAACTTTAATAGGCCAAAATAGTAAGTAATACTCTTGTCAAAGAAAATTAGTTTCTCTCAAAACTGTTTTTCCTTTTCCCTTATTGGTGTATGTTTATCTTCAATAAAGAGCAGAAATAAAACCTAGACCAAAAGATGTTCTTACAGGTGGAGTGTTACACAGTCACCCAGACACTGATAGCTTGCTTTTTCTGATGGCAGAAGGACAGTCTTCCCAGAAACCTCTCACCAACACACCAGGCATCTGGGTCAGGGATATCTGAGAATCTACCAGCTAAAGACAGAAGTTCAAACAATGGTATATCAAGATGCAGAAGACCCTGCTTTATACAATAAAAACCACCCTCTTTCCCTCAAAAGGAGAAGGCATCTAAACATTTTTTTAAATCATAGATTTCATAATGGTACAATGGATAGCTACTTGTCAAGTTTCTCAGGAAGTGTTCTCACCAAGTGGACTGACTGGTCCACTTCCACTGGGCAATGCTTTCATTTAGTCCTTGCTCTCGCTTTTGACACAGGAATGCCCTCCCTCAGGTGAGTTTCCTCCAAGACACAAGGAAACAAGCATTGTCGTCATTGGACTTATAGGAAGTCCGGCAGCAGCCACTACAGCCACACAGGAAGCAAAGCTTGATTTTCACAATCTTTTCATGGATACCTGAGACAATGAATAAAAAACAGATCCTAAAAGAAGCCACGTTTTATCTCTTATGCATCAAGACATTTAACATTAAGTTTTGTATATATATGTCAGAGACAAAAGAAACTAATCACTGTTTAGAAGAGCAGTGCACATCTAAAGTAGCTTTCAAGCAGGATAAATAAGTCAAAATACTGGCCACCCTGAAACACAGCACTAAATTTAAAAGGTTTTCTCCTCATGCTACTCTGTCTAAAACAAAAGCTTAATCCATGCAGGGAGTCTGTGAAATATACAGCAGCATCTGAAGACTGATGAAAACCCAGATAGTTTTCCTTGTGAGGTTGGTGCTGTGTGCACTTCCTCAGAGAGGCTTGCTCAGCACCAGGCCCTGAGCTTCTTCAAAGCCTCAGATCATGTCACAGCAGTGGTCTGAGGGGCCCACGGGGCTGTGTCTGCTACTTTACTCCCCAAGGCATCTGTAGTCTGCATTAGGTCAAGAACTGACTTAGCTCAAAATGATCTTGCTCTAACTTTCTACAAAATGTGTAATTCTTAGACTATAATTTTATTAATTTAGGAGCTTGTTGAAGGGCAACAGTATAAGTAGATGAAATTTGATTCTCTGAATAAAAATACAAACACATAATTTTACAACTCCAATTCCAGTCAAGGTAGATAGAGAAAGCTTTTAAAAATAAATCCTTTCTATGAGCTTACTCTTGGAATCCTGGTGCTGTACCATAGACCCGGAAATACGGCTTTCAGTAGATGCAACAGAAGTAGGACATGGCACACACACCACTGATCACAGTATAGGATACTTCAAAGGTGCAGTGGTTGCCGATTGTCACGTCACTTCCCCAGAAGGCTGTGACAGCATGAAAGCAAAAAGCCATTTCTGTGAGATTAAACAAAAACTGCAGGCATAACAATCAGGTGGAAACAATTTCAAAGGTTGTAAAGTCTTAAAAAATAGGCAATACTTTTAAAAACTGTTCATCTGATTTGAAAAACATTGATGTTATCACAGGACCATCTATTTTAAAGGATCACAAACTCCGTTTGGGTAGAACATGAAGATGATGACCAGGATGCTTTCTTAGAGCTCTGATTTTTTGAAACCATCTTAATTAGGGCTGTGCTGGGGTGGTGATGACACGGTGAGGACACCACCATCCATCTGTGGCTTGGCTACCAGGGTCTGAGAAGCCACCATTGTTTGAACTCCTAATCTGAGCTGAGGCAGACACATGTTATTGCCTACAGAACGGGATTGGAGGAAGCTTTGACTCTGAGTGTAACTGCTGGATGGTACGGCACAAACATGGACTTTCTACAGAACCAGGAGTGCGGGCAGGCCTGGCCGCCATGTTCCAAGGCTAGCGCCCACCCTTCGAGACCAGCTGGCAGGGTCTGCAGTGAGCTTCCAAGGCTTTCTGGGCGTGGGGATCCTGAGGCAGTTCAGACTTGCGGCACACAAGAGGATTGTCATTCTTCGGATCTTTCTGTGCCTGACAAGCCTCGTCATTCACTGTCTTTCTCAACATCTGCACATCTTCAAACAGAGACCCAAATGTCTCCATTGCAGCCAGCATGCTCACGGTGCTGGGTTGACTATACACTGTGTACTGGGATTCACTTTGGCTAGATTTTCTTTCTGTTTTTTTTTTTGGTACTGGGGATCGAACTTGGGACCATGCGCCTGTAAGGGAGGTGGTGGAACCACTGAGCTAAATCCCCGGCCCTAGATTTTCTATTTTAACCTATGCTTTTTCTTGCTCTTTCACTTTTGGCTTCTCTTTCAGTTTCTCTGCTTTAAACTATTGGGTGCAGTCATCAAAGCTCTACCCGGCTTTGGACCCTATGCTGTGGAGGTTGTGTCATCTGGAGACTAAAAATTTTCAGAAAAATTCATAAACAAGCTGCAGATGAGGCCAAACTTTTTCTAATGTTGGTTCATCTTCCTTGGGGTCAAATTCTGCTCCCTTAGGGTTGGAGGAAGGTGAGAATGTTTGAAACGTGTTAACTGCAAACATGTGGACTACATCTGGATAAATAGGCTCCGTGATCACATTCTAATTATGGGTGATGTATTCCACCACTTAACTTAAAGCAGCTCATTTCACTTCCTTCCACTTGAGGTCACTCAGTGAGTCCGAAACAAAGTCAAAGAGGATATAAACTTCTGGGTAAAAAGCTTCCCTTGATCAGCAGGAGGAACATCTTTCAAAGATGATAGCGTTTGCAGTTCTCTATTAATACTAGCATTAAACCGTGATGAATTCTGCCATTTGTCTTTCTTCAACGCTGAGATTCCACCTCAACCCAGAAAGAATGGCTGTGGTCTCCTGTGGATATGTTCCTCCAAACCTAAGAGAGCAGAAGGTATGCATCCCTTGTGATTGCTGGCCACAGGGTATGTATCTTTGTAAATGTTCTGATAAAATTGCTAAATCTGTCTGTTCAGGACATACCGATCTTGTAAAGGCCCCAGCTCCGCAGCACATGTTCTGAGTAAGGCAGAAAGGTGGCCACTCTTCCAAGGGCCCTGGTCTCCATAGCCACAGGTATTGGAGTTTTGCTGAGAAGGTGTTCCTGGTGCTTCTCACAGCTGGAGCTGTGTTGGGCACTAGCTGCAGGAAGCCTAGCCCGGCTTCACCACATGCTTCTGGTACTACATGGGCTCAGGCATGGTAAGAATGTGTCTGCTCCACATGATAGATGATGGTTCTGATAGGAGAGGAGGCTCCCAGGGGTCTTATGGGTTACTGTTTTAAAAGGGCATCACTTATGAATTAGAGCTCACCTTTGTGTGGAGGCAGAGTACATGTGCCTGCTCTGAGATTGTCAGTGGAGAACTGCAGCTGCAATGAAACCAGACATTGCTTGGTCATGGTCCCTGCTCCTGGCTTGCTGGACCTTCCCTCCAGGTGAGTATGTGTTGCCATCTGTAGGGTCCTGGGGGTAGGGGGCACAGGTGTGCAGGATGTTTGGGGTTAGGGTTAGGGATGACACAACAACATTTATACCTGATAATCTCATTTCTTAGTGACATGTTTGCTAACTTTCATTTTAGGAAAACAATCATTTTGATATCATCAAAATGCAGAGTATTAATGATAGATAATTTTAGATAAATATAGAAGTGAGATTAAAAGTGGGGGCAAACTCTGGGGCCGGGGATTTAGCTCAGTGGTTTCGCCGCCTGCTGCGCAAGCGCAAGGACCAGAGTTCGATCCCTGGTACCAAAAAAAAAAAGTGGGGGCAAGTTTTCTAATACTGGAACATTCTGAACAAAATTCCCTGAATCTTCTCCACCCATTCTGTGTTCTTGTTCCTGAAGGCTTGGCTGAGGAGGAGTCCATGAGTCTCCTTGGGGGTGGAAACCACTGTGAGGGCCTCCTGCAGGTGCAGTACCATGGATGGCAGGGCCCTGTGTGTGGGGACCACTGGGGTCTGGAGGAGGCTTCTGTGGCCTGCAGACAACTGGGATGTGGCTCCATGATATCTACCTCCCACTATGTTCTGAGGCCCCAGGAGATGGGGCCACCCTGGCTGTATGGTGCCCAGTGCCAGGGTGAGGAGGCTTCCCTCTGGCAGTGCTCCCTGGGAGACTGGGGCCCTCTCAGTGGTTGCAACTGCCAGTGTGTGGTGGCTGTTCTCTGCTCAGGTAGGTTGAATAATGACACCTGAATCACTCTTATCCCTTGGACCTCCTTCCACTGCTTCAGTTCCAGAGATACCAAGGCAAAGTCCCAGGGGAGGAGGGAAAGTCTGACCCAGATGTGAGTGCCTAGTCCCCTTGGGATTCTTGGGGTTCTGGGGTTCCCTGCTGCTGCAGGATGAATTGGAGACTTTGCTTTTTCTGCCCTGGAGCTTGGTTATCACTTTCCTGGATCCCCTTTTCACTGACTTTTATCATTGGTCCTTTGGTTTTGAGCTCAGCCACTAAAACTGCTTTGCTTTGTTGTCCTTAGGGCCAGCTCAAGGAACACTTTGAGGTCTCCACACACCCTGACTGCACAGAGCACAGCAGTGTCCAGTGAGAGTGACCCATGTGGTTGCTTGAGCCATGTTTCTCAATCCAGGCTCCCTGGAGGCTGCTGTCTGTGCTGTGCAGATTCTGACTATGATACAGCTGTCCTGGAAGGAGGGGCTCTGTCCACCCTGATCGCCCCAGGAAAGTAGCACAGTGTGGGGAAGGAGACAGGGGCCCTGCAGATGATCTCTTGGGCCAAATCCAGTCGGTGCTCAGCCCTGGCATGTGTGCCTTGGGCAGAGGCTGGCAGGAACTTGTTTGTCTTCTGTGCCATCAGGTGGTACCTTGAGACAAATTAGGCTGGGCTCCGGAGGCAGCCCCTGTGCTGGGACCTTTGAGCTGGCAAATCCTGACGACTCGATCCTGAGATGTGACTTGCAGAAGAAGGAAGTGAGCGTCTTGTGCAGACAGCTGGAATGTGGCACTGCTTTGCAGTGGTCCAGAGCCCACCCTGGAGTGCGCCCTGGTGGTCAGGAGCAGAGATTTGTGACCTGTCAGGGAACAGAGCCCAGCATTTTCCATTGCAAGATCAACTTGAACTTCCTAGAGCAGTGTAATCTTCCAGCCTACACCGAGGTGGTGTGCACAGGTAGGGTCACTCCACCCAGAACATGGGACTCTTGTTTGTGTATGAGCAAAGGGGATCAAGGAATCTGCTCATAGCACACAAGCAGGGTCAAGTAAAACTTCTTTCCTGGAGTGGTGGTTGACATAACTGTACAATGTCACTGGGCTGTGGTGCAGCACACACTGGAGCTCTCCCCTCTGGGGATGCTACTCTTTGGGGTTCTGGCTGCTCTCCTTGGGGTTCCTGTCCTGCCTGTGCCCAAGTGGTGAAGGCCTGAGGGAGCAGTGGTATCTACCTCTCTTTGTGGGGTTTATTTCTCTCCAGAAGGCCAAAGGGTTGCGGGTAGACCTTCTTCATGGGAGTCACTGTGGGGGACCAGGGCCCAAGGCTGATGCAGGGACCAGCGTCAGGTCATTGTTTTGCAGACCCCAAGATCTCCTGAAGCCTTTTGGGTCTCTGGGTCTGGGCCAAGCCAGTTGGTCCTGGGTCCTCCAGTCTCGTTCCTTGCTGTGGGCAGGATGGAGGGTGGTGGGATCTCTTCATCCCTGTGCCCTGCATAGAGCCATGTCCTGCCCTTGGATACTCTTGCTTTTGCCCCCAGGACACATGGAGGCCCAGCTTGCTGGCACTGGGGACCCCTGTGCTGGGTGCCTGGAGATTCAGCGAGGTCTGACCTGGGGCACAGTCTGCGATGCTGACCTGGACCTGCCCACGGCCCAAGTGGTGTGCCAGGAGCTGCAGTGTGGAGTGGCCATGTCTGTACGTGGAGGTGCCCACTTTGGCCAGGGCTCAGGGCCTGTATGGACAGAGGCCTTCCACTGTGTGGGCAATGAGTCTCTACTGTTCCACTGCCCACGGGAACCTGGAAGTCAGCGCATGCATGACCAGGATGCTGGGCTCAGGTGCTCAGGGGAAAGTGAGTCAGCTCACGGGGTCCAGTGGGGTCTGGGCTGTGGTGGTGTTCAAAGGGAGAGGCTCTGGTATAATTTTGAACAGTGGCCAGGGAGAGAGTTTAGCCTAATATTTCTTATAACTTCTATTTTTCTCTTCTTCAGCTTTGCACGTTTGTTTCTGTCCTCAGGCAATGGTCTATTCAGGTCCTGCATTCCCATCAGATATAAAGTTGTGTTTTTGTTCCAGTGCTGTGAATGTTTTTCCTATGTATTCTGCATAGTAAGCCCTCATTAATATGTGATTAGCAAATATCTTCTCCCATTCTGTGGGTGGTTGTTTCAATTTTTGAAAATGTTCTTTGATATATATTCAGGTCTTAATTTCAATTAAGCAGAACATCTATGTTTTTTCTTTTTACTGCTTGTTCTCTTAGTGTCATGCCTATAAATATAGATGTGCAAGGGCATGAGGCTTCACCTCTATGCTTTATGCTAAGACTTTCCCCCCTTAGTTCTTATACTTCATACTTTGTTTCAAGTTAATCTTTGTATATGGTGTATGGAAGGGGCCAGCTTTATTCTTTCCCATGTAGATACTCAGTTCCTTTGGTGCCATTTGTTGAGAGAGTCTTCTTTGGTCAAAGAAAGGTCATGATACTTGTTCAAAAGCGTGTTGACCTAAATGTGTGCATTTATTTCTGGATTTTAAAGTCTAGTGCATTGATTATGTCTATCCTTATGCAGTATCACTCTGTTTTGATTACTATACCCTTGTAGTAAGTTTTGAAATCAGGAAGTATAAGTCCTCCAACTTTGTTCTTTTTATATACTTTCAGCTGTTTGGGACCCCTTTATATCTACATAAATTTTACAGTTAACTTTTTCATTTATAAAAGATGCTCTTTGGGTTTTGATAGGGATTGCATTGAATCTTCAGACAACTTTGGATGGTGTTGCCTTTTTTTGGTACCGGGGATCAAACTCGGGTCCTTGAGCTTGCACAGCAGGCGGTGAAACCACTGAGCTAAATCCCCGGCTTCTTTTAAAAAAATATATCCTTCAACTCTTGAGAGTGAGGTATATTTCTCTTTATTAGGTCTTGTTAAATTTATTTTTTAAATGTCATTTATTTAAAGATACATTTCTATTTTTAATTAACATACAATAATTGTACATTTTTATGGGATACAGTGTGACACTGCAATACAGGTGTACAATATGTATCGATCAGGTCAGGGTAACATACATCTGATACTTGAGACATAGGTCATTTCTGTGTTCATCAGGAATATTGGTCTGTATTTTTCTTGTTTTAGTATTCTTATATAGTTTTGGTATCAGGGTAATAATGCTGGGTTCACAAAATGAGTGTGAAAGTATTTAAATTCTTTTAAATAGTTTCAGAAGAATTGGCTTTTGACCTTTAAATGTATGGAAAATTCAGCAGTGCAGCCATTCAGTCTTGGGTACTTCTTTGTTGGGAGACTTAGAGTCTTGGGTTATTCTCTATTGGGAGAATTTTTATTACTGTTTTGTACTTCCATGTGAATTTTAGAATTGTTTTCTTATGATATGAAACATATTTTTGGTATTTTAAAGGATATCCTATTGAGTCTATAGATTGCTTTTTGAAATATCACCATGTTAACAATATAGGTTCTCCCAATGCATGAAGAAGGGAGGTCTTCCATTTTCTATTGTTTCTCTTCAATTGTTTTCTTCAGTGTTCTGTAATTTTCATTACAGAGGTCTTTCACTTGCTTGGCTACTTTGACTCCTAGGTATTTTTTTAAAAAGCCATTGTAAATGGAATGGTTTTCCCAATTTTCTTCTTGGTGGGACATTAATAGTATATAGAAAGGCTATTTTTGTGGGAGTGTCACTTTGCTGAATTTATCAGAATGAGTCTTCTGGTGGAATTTATTGGGTCTTCTATGTAAAGATTTAAATTATCTACAAATAGGGATAATTTGACTTCCTTCTTTTGTATTTGTATGTTTTTTATTCCTCTTGCCTAGTTGTCCTGACTAAACTTTCAAATAGTAGATTGAAAGGAACGGTGAGAATGAATACTTTTCCCCCATTCAGTATGATGTTGGCAGAGAGTTTGCTGATATATGGCTTTTATCAATTTGAAGAAAGATCTTTGTATACCTATTTTTCCAAAATTTTATCATGAAGGTTGTTTAATTTTGTCTAAGACCTTGTCTGTGTCTACTGAGATAATTGTGTAGTTTTATCTTTGTTTTTAATTATGTTGTGTATCACATCTATTGAATCCCTGGGATGAAATGTCCTTGGTCCATGGCATAAGATCTCTTTAATGTGTTGTTGAATTCTGTGTGTAGGAATCTTATTGAAGATTTTTGTGTTCAAGGATATTGGTCTGTAGCTTTCTTTTTTTGTTGAGTCCTTCTCTGGTTTTGGTATTACCATAATGCTGGCTTCATAGAATGAATTTGGAAGTATCCCATTCATTTCTACTAAATGAAAAAGTTTGAGGAACAATGTTGCTATTGTTTCTCAACTGGTCTTGTAAAAATCAGCAGAAAATCTATTGGGTCCTAGGCTATTCTTTATTGGGAGGGTTTTTATTACTGTTTTTTTTTCTTTTTTTGATACTGAGGATTGAACTCGGGACCTTGTGCTTGCAAGGCAGGCACCAGAACCACTGAGCTAAATCCCCGGTTCTGTTTTGATCTTGCTATTGATGTGTTTGGATTTTTATGTCTTTTTGGATCATTTTAGGTAGGTCGTATAAGTCTAGGAATTTATTCATTTTTTGGATTCTTTTATTTATTGGAATATAATTTATCAAAATTGTTTCTAATAATCCCCTAGACTTCAGTAATGTCTGTTGTGATTTTACCATTTTCATTTCTAATTTTATTAATTTGTGCCTTCTCTTATTTTGATAAGTTTGACTAAGAGTCTATCAATCTTTTTTATCTTTTCAAAGAACCAACTCTGATTCATTGATTCTTTGTATGTTTTTAGTTTGTATTTCATTTATTTCCATGCTGATCTTCATTATTTCTTCTCTTTATTGGATTTGATTTTGATTTGTTCTTGTTTTTCTAGGGCCTTTATTTATTTATTTATTTATTTATTTGGTACCTGGGCTCAAACTCGGGTCCTTCTGCTTGCGAGGCAGGTGGTAGAACCATTGAGCTAAATCCCTGGCCCTCTAGGGCCTTTAAATAATCCTTTAGTTCATTTATTTTGGGCTGCTCTATTTTTTTGATAGGCACTCATGACTATAAATTTCACTCTTAAGATTGCTTTCATTGTGTCCCACAGATTTTATTATGTTATTTTTCCATTATTGCTTCATTCTGGTTTTTAAATTTCTCCCTTCATATTTTTGATAATTCATCAATTATTTGGCAGTGTATTAATCAATCTTCTTGTGTTTGTATAATGTCTATGATTTCTTTTGTTGTTGATTTCTACTTTTACTCCATTGTAATCTGATGAGATGCATGAGATTATTTAAATTCTGGGTATATATTAAGGCTAGCTTTATGGCCTAAAATTTGCTTTATTTTGAAAAAAGTTCTGTGGGTTGCTGAAAATAATTCCATTTTTGTATAAAAAATTTATAGCTATGTGTTTGGTTCCTTTGACTTATAGAGTATTTTAACTCTGATATTTTTGTTGATTTCTCATTTGGTTGACCTGTTTGTAAAAGTGGAGTGTTAAAGGCACCCACTATGATTGTGTTGAGGTCTATCTGACAATTAATTTCAATTAGTGTTTTATAAAATTGCTATTTGATACGTATACAAAGTCCACCAAAAAATGTATACACACTTCAGGGAAAGAAAAATAGTATGTTATCCTTGTATGGGGAACTCTATAGAATATCACATATTGCAGAAAACCCACTACACTGCTGGCCTTTAGAGAAGAAATTGAAAATGCATGTACAGCAATCTCAATGACCAAGGTTATCCAAGCAGCAGTTCACTGTGCTAATAAATGTCTGGAAGTCAATGGCCACCATTTGGAGCATCTCTTACAATTGTAGAGACCAAAGTTAACTTGTAT